AAGCAACTGTAGTGCACAACTAAGTTTTTGACAGAACATCTCAGTTATTCACACTGACAAGCTGTAATGTTTGTTTAGAGTTGCTATATTATGTTTTCAGTTTAAAATGCTGCGCTGCTCAGCTGGACTATGTTGTTAGCCTGAATGAAAACAACGACACAGAATCTGCTACCAACCTATCGGCAGCTTCTTTACACAAAAAACTACAACCAATCTGTCCTAATAGTGTGGCCTTTCACAAGCTTACAAAACAAATGCCATCTGAAATGAATAACGGTCTAATTTTAGGGCTTATGTGGCATAATCTCTCGTTAGGTTTAATGAGATTTCGGCTGTCCAACCTCGCAACAGTAGTTACAATGAAGGCATTTGTGGGCGGAGCATAGCCAGGTCAGCAGAAGGTATGTTGTGGTAAGAGAGCTATCCTGCTAAGGTGTGCAGTGTGATGGCGAACCTTGCCCACCTCTTCAAGCTCACACACTGCTCCCAACACAAACTCGTGCACATACTTACCGTGGGTGTATTCGCTGCTGTCCCAGCTGGACAGGCATGGACACGGGTGCCTGTGGGATCAGACAGAGCCGGATTTAGCCCTCCGCTGTGTCCCCTGCTCTCACCACAAAGCCCTTTTCCACCCACAATCTCTTTTCCTCCCACACCCGCAACACAAGAGATGCATCAGTGCCTCAAAATAGCGGTCAAAACTATTCATAGCTGTTGTAATTCAATTTTTTTTTTTTTTGCTTACTAACTGGTAAGCATTACACAGTGCAGCATATTGCATGTGTGCTCCCAGGCCAAATACCTGATAGAGCAGGGCTGACATGAGATGAAAGGTTTAGATCATTAAAAAACATCAGGGGATCTGAGTCTTACTCCTAGGGGTAGGGGTTGGACTTAAGTGATCTAAGAATTTTTCAGGAATCTCTTCTCTGGGTGGATGAGGGCAGCTGAGCAGGTCCCGGCCATCCAGCTGAAAGGGTGTTTGGGAGGCAGCAGGACAGTCTCTGGAGGGCCGGGATACTTTGTGCGACCGCCAGCATGCCTGGCACATGGCCTCTATTTCTATTCCAGCTCTCGCACAGGGACACTGAAATGGGTTAGGCACCACGTTCAACATTCCTGTCCAGCCATTTAATTAGCTGCTGGCCTCAATACACATTTTCCTGCTATTGTGCTATAAGCGATGATGTGTTGTTGTTCTGACTTCAGCAAAGCTTTTGACCCCATTCTGGCTCTCTACACGGAAAATTAATTGTGCTTTTTTGTTTAACAGTGACTTGAGTGCAGATATTAAAAGTGTCAGTGATTCTAAACATTTCCTTAACCAGAGACGGATTTCAGTCAATAAAAACCTCCTAAACAATATTTTAAATGCTTTGAAAAGCTAGAAAAACTTCTCTGCCTCATCAGGACTGTTTGGCTGTTTCAGGCATAGCCATGGCTACGTAAACAACCCCAGGGCTGCAGATTTCTTTCATTTTTTAAGCTTTTATTTTCTGGCAGAGGTCACACTTTGTGTGAGATATCAGATTATGAAGGTAAAGTTACATTCAACTGGGAGTACAGTAACTGTAGTGGGGAGTATTAACAAAGTACAATACTGTGGCTAGTCGGCTACAATAGGCAACAAATCATTAAAGCAAAGTTAGCATTTGTTGGGTAAATTAGACTAACCAACAAACTGCGCAGAAAGAACATTATCCACACTTTGCTCGGCAGACATCCAGTGGCAGCAAAGAAAGAGAGAGGGGAAGAGCTGCTCTATCTACAAGCTCCCCTCCAAAGCCAAGTTTTACTTGTGTGAAATTGTGCAGCTGATTACTGCAGACACATTTTAGTCCCGTTTTACAGTCGTTTTACCACCATTAAGGGGTATTTTCAAAATGCTGGTAGTTCGTCAGGCACAGCTAAAGAGTACGACAGCGTTTTAGGGCCACTGTAAAAAAAAGATAAAAATAATAGACTTTGAGAATAAATTAGTAATATTTCAAGAATAAAGTGGTAATATTTTGAGATAAAAAGTCGTACGCTATGACATTTTGAGAATAAAGTCATAATATTTTGAGAATAAAGTCGTAATATTTCAAGATAAAAAGTCATACGGTATGACATTTTGAGAATAAAGTTGTTATATTTAGAGAATAAAGTTGTAAAGTTATAAGAATAAACTCGCAATATTTCAAGGCTAAAGTAGCCTATTGGTGGGGTGCTGCCAAAACACGTTGGGGTCTCGGTCACCTTACTGGTGGCAATGAAGAGTGAGTGCACTGGAGTTCAACAGTATAACTCTACCAACTATTATGACTTTATTCTTGAAATATTATGACTTTATTCTTGAAATATTACAACTTTATTCCTGAGGTCTAATATATATATATATATATTTTTTTTTTTTACAGTTGACCTGGAACACCATTGTAAAAGAGACATTGGTTAATGTGGGCTGGTGTTTTGGCGTTGAGCTACTGATGAAAAATCTGCCCTAATTCTGATTGGTTTGCCGGATTCTCCAATGTCTGCATCTTCCTATATAGTCCCAACTCAAATCCAACCAAGGAAACACAAAAGGGCAAAAATCCCTCAATGAAAATGACAAATATTGTTCTTTATTAGGCAATCAACATAGGAGCCTATAGCTAAAAGCACAGATTAGCAAAGTAAACTAATAGTGTTAATTTACTGCATAAACATTGTTTCAAATCATGTGATTAAACCTAATTAACTCCCCGGTTCATACATGAAAACTAAGCTGCAAAAACAGTCCATTTTAAATTTAATGTGGTTGTGATGTCACAACCACGAACACATTTACCAATGACTGACCAGTCATATTAAAGTTATCGGGTGCGAATACCTAAAGGAGAAGTGGCTTCAGGTAAAAAAAAATAAAATAAAGTGTAATAACACTTTAAAATATCAGTGTAAAATATCAGCTCTCTCTAGTGGACATCAGGGTCACGTGACTTCAGCATTCATCTCTCAGCTTGTGTGAAGTTTCTCTCTGACTGAATGGAAGGTCCCCATTCAGAGAAGGAAACTGGTGGCGGCACTGACAGCGTCACTGTAAATCTCCTGCCTCTGTTCCAGTCTTTGGAAGCGTATTAAACTGCACTGGCTCGCTGCCTGTGACTCATCTGGCATTTGAGGCTCACTGAAGACCCATCCCTTCAGTCTGCAGCTCGTAGCTCGCTCTTGTTCACACTCGCTCATGTTCTCACTCCCTGAGCCTCTCTCACTTTCACTCCTTCTCCTTCTGCCAGGATTCTCCCTTTTTCACAATGAACAGCCATCATTCACCTCCCATTTGAAAAGATCACGCAACATATTGTCTTTAGCCAGTACCGCCTTGTTTACTTAGTACATAATGCACTGCAGATTTTTGTATAAGATTTGACACAACGTAACTCCACTAGCTGTGTGTGTTACTTGCAGCCAGACTCCAGCGTAGTACCGTCAGTTTATGAATGGTTAATACATGCAGGACATTGTAAGAAAAATAAATACCCATATTAAACAACAGTATCACTGACGTGAAGCTCCACGCTTATGGGGTGCTCGTCTCTCTGGGCCAGACGTGATCTGAGAAAACAGACCTGGGGCAAATTTTTGGGACTGGCTGCACCAACGAGGATTATGCCTTTTGAGCTTTTGAGGATTTTTGCATGCAGACATTGTGGCCCTTGGCTCCTAACACTGTACAGAAATTTGGATATGTACATTTTTTGAGAATTGACTTTTAAGAGCGAATGAATCTACAATAAAAATGTATAATTTCCCTTAAGTTGACACCCAAAATGATGTTTTTCAAATGAGAGAGAGTAGAAAAGCTAGCGTTGTCTTTTCCACAGTGAAGTATGGTGAACATGCTAAGAAACTAACATTTCTTAACTACGGAAAGGGTTCTGTGGTGTTGCATTTTCATTAAACAGCCTGAATACTTGAGTATGTATGCATGCACATCCCTAATGTAATTATCTGTTGATCTGGCATGGTTTTCAGTTTTGAATAGAGTATGGACACTCAATGGTCACTTTTTTTAGAAACACCTACTTTGCTGGTGTACAGTTAAGACTACCCTGCTAGAAAAAGCAGCATATCTTTGCTGTCAGGACAAAGTATCCTGTATCTCCATTATTGCCATTTTTAATATTTTAACAGAATTTGAAAATGTCAGCTGCCCTTTAACAATGTGTTAAAATTTTATGATGAATGGGACAGCAGGCATGGCTTAAAATTAAACAGGAACGCTTCAAAATTACTTGGAAAAATATTTTCTTCCATCAACTTCAATTCAAAGCTAAGAAGACTTTTCTTGCTCTTATAAAGTTACCATTTTGAACTACGAGGTTTTGCGACGATATGTTGTGTTTTGGAAGCTGTTATACTGATCACCACCAAAGCCGGCGTATGTTATGTTTTGGATGCTGGTCATGCTGGGTAACCAGCTACCTGCAGCAGACTAGCTTAAACCAGCATAAACTCCAAGCTGGTCTAAGAATTCTATGCTGATTTTTCAGCAGGGTATAAATGTATGTTAGGCATCCTCCTGGTGCCTATTCACTGCAGCACACTGGATCCAGCTCATGAAGGACTTGATAATCAGTTGATAAACTGGATCAGGTGCACTGGGGGCAGGGAATGGTAGAAACTGTGCAGTGGGCCCCCAGGTGAATGTATAGCTAGAATGATTTCATTACATCCTAGTGTATTCAAAAGCAAAGCTATGATGTAACTGGCTGTCGGAACAGTTGCACTTAGAAGAAATGCCATGTTGTAATGTGAACATCTAACCCTTTCTTTGGGCCTGGGCCTCTGAGCACTCTCAGAAGCTGGAAGTATCAGGTGTGCCACTGACCCTTTTAGGCTTTGTTCTTTCCTCCTCCTCGCCACTGAGACCACTATGCCATGAAACTGGAACAGTGAGGCTTTTGTGTTGGACTGCGATGTGAAATACCTCAGATGAAAAGACTTGTCCTGGGCTTTAAATGCTGAAGCGACCGAAGCACCGGGGTGCGAGTAAAGCTTCCTGGCATGGCACGAACTAGCAAGGCTTAGCATTTGACTGTTTGTGTGCTGGCACACGGATCTGTTGAGACTTTAAGAAGCGTGACATTTGTGATTGAGGAGGGTTTAGTGATGCAGTTCAGACGATGGGCTTTGAAAGTGCAAGAACACAGTCAGAGTTATAACAGCTACCTTGGCCTGTAAAGAAGACCAGAGTGAGGTAAGTCTTCCAATAGCACTTTTACAAGGACTGCTTATTTAAGAATTATTAGAAGAAAAAAGTGGTTTATACAGGCTAAACAGTTTTGCCACAGTAGCAGCCTCTACCCTTCTGGGAAGGCTTTATTCTCTATTTTCAAAGAGAAAAATACCTTACAAAGTTGTCCTGGGGTGGTACCTATGTCTTCAATACCATTATCAGAGAACATAATTGTATAGTAAATAATTCTATAACTGTACAGTTGTGGGGCAGTTATAATGGTAAATACAGTTGTAATTACTGAAATAGTGCAGGTATTACGCTAATAATCACTTTTGTTCTCTTTGTACAATCATTCTAATGTATGGCTTGTTCAAAAATGCATACAATAGAAAATATTGGACTTAATTATAGACTACAAACTAATCATGGACGTTTATTCCATTTTGTCATCTTTTCAGTGACTCATATCATCTGGCTCAGTTCATCAATAAGAGACAGCTCTTTTGGCTTCCAAACAGCTCTACGTTCATGCCAGGTTTGTCATACTGAGCCAATATTATGACTTATTATTGTTTGTTTTAGTCTATTTATAAGTTAAATTATCAAACAGCGTACGCAACCTCACAATTAAATATTGTATGTTCTTGTATGGGGCGGCGCGGTAGCACAGTGGGTAGCACTGTCGCCTCCCAGCAAGGCTTTGATTCCCTGGCTGGGCAACCAGGATCCTTTCTGTGTGGAGTCTGAATGTTCTCCCCGTGTCTGCGTGGGTTTCCTCCCACAGTCCAAAGACATGCAGTCAGGCCAATTGGACATGGTAAATTGCCCCTAGGTGTGAATGTGTGTGTGATTGTGTATGTCTGTGTGTATGACCTGCAATGGACTGGACTGGCGACCTGTCCAGGGTGTTTCCTGCCTTCTGCCGAAAGACTCCTGGGATAGGCTCCAACACCTTTTTCAGAGACCATCTAGAAAACCCCAGTTTCTTTCTCTTTCATTCTGCATGCATTTGTGACAAAAATCTTAAACATCTATTACCTTTCATTTACCTTGATAGCATTTACAACATAGCTACTTAGCAAAGGAAAGCTGGTGTTTGTTCTTTCTGTATCCCCTCAAATAGCCTACATATTCTACACTATGACTGTTTATGTGTGTCCCCGGTGCACAAGATATCATCATAATAAGGAACAATACAACCTGCTAATATCTCACCATTTTGGATAGATTTGGCCGCAGATCCAAAGTCAGATATAGATAAGGTGAAGAGGTAGGTGATATGACGATATTTTATTGCTGTCCTGATCATTTTTATCATGATAAACAATATGCCTTTCTAAGCTTACCATGGATATGGTCAGAGCTTAAAGAACACTGCCCAACCAATTTCAGAGAGAGCATGTTTAGTTCTGTTTAAATGGATTCCATGAAGGACAGTTTGTGAAATGTTGAATACAAATCAATCAATGAGTTTTTGATGGCTGTTATAAAATGTCGGACTACAGCTACAACACATCATAATACATACTGTGAAAATGTCTTTACGTACCATGATATGATAGTTTTGCCATATCATTCACCCCTAAGAAAAAGTTTCACTGGATGACTTGCCTTAAAAAGAAATGCTCTTCAACATGAACTGGCTCCCAATGTTCACCCAAAGAGCCGCCTCAAAGTGCCGACTCATTCATGAAGGACATGTCACTAAAAAACAGAACATTACCAACTAAAGAACTACACCCATACATACTTTGAATTATAATGTAGATTTCCAGTCTGGCACAGAATGCTGGGGAATATGCAAATGAAACAAAGAAACTCAGGTACAGAGTAAAATGGATGAGCGCAACCAGAAGAAGGGTTGCAGTGGTCCAGTTTGGCAATATTTTGGTTTCAAGCTGAACCACTGGATGTTACACAAAACACAGAATATAGTTATTATAAATAATTAAGTAATGTTAGCAGCTAGCCCATCGATAATTATACAGTAATTATACTATCATCAGGGTAAATGCAAGCTATAGTGTAAGGCTCTGTCACCCTCTCATGTGGTTTATCCCTGCTGGAAAAACTAACACAGACCAGCAGGCATCCCATGGTTTACGTTGGTCTGGTGCTGATTTAGCTGGTCACCCAACATGGTAATGCTGGCTGACCAGCATACCAGCATCCAAAACAATTCTAATAGGAATTGGCTTAAGGGTTTCCAACAGAGACTACTAGTTTCCTGTAGAACATCTTTAGACCCCATTAGAAAATCATAAAATTGCATTCAGAATCAATAGCCATAGCCACTGGTCACCTGTTAAACCATTATGATCTTTTACATTGTGACCCCAACCCATTAAAAAGGCCAAAACACATTACAAAACCAGCAGGTACCAACAGAAACACTTAACGGTTTCTATGTTTTTTTCAGCAGGGATATGCTGGTTTTGCTAGTGACCAGGCATGCTGGTCTATGCTGTTTTTTCTAGAAGGGATAACTGAATTTGGATCATGATATTGTTCATAGCAATAATTCTACAGACGATAATCATTTGTCTGTATTTACATTATTGTCCAGGCACATCAAGGTAATGAACAGCACAGGCTAGTTTAGCATAGCACAGGTACTGGTGTAGCCTTGCAGTCCAGGTTTGAGTACTTGCACATCCATTTCTGGGCTCAGGATGGGATCAAATATCAGCCGATCAGTTGGTTCAGGTTTGTGAATGTGTAGGGAGTTGAAGAACTAGATTGAGAAACATGTATAATTTACGTAACTGTAGTATCTTTGCTGGAAAAAACACACAAAAGAAAACAGCACAGGCCAGCACAAACGTCTTGTTGGTCTATGCTGGTCTAAACTGGTTTATGCTGGTCTGGCTGGTCTATGCTGTTTTTTTCTAGGAGGAATATTTTGTTTATCTAAACATTATGTAAGAAATAATGCAATATTAAAGTAATTACAGCTGTATTTACCCTTAAATCCACAACAGTGTATTTACACAATTATACAACTATAACTCTCTAACTAATTTCAATTATCGCGATATTTCGATAATACAGTTATCGGCCCGAGGCTACTATTTATGCTACCCGTTTTTTTTTGCTAACTCCGATGGGCGCAACAAGTAGGTCAATAGCAGTCCAAGCGGCGGAGAAGTCGTTTTTTTCCAGATTTGTTCATCTCTTGTCATCTCAACAAACGTGACAGAAGTGATGTGTCGCTGCTCCTTACTGTGAGGGGAGGCGCTTGTGTCTCGCTGCTAAAGCCGTGCGGTAGGTTTTTCCCCCACAAACAGACGTGGCTGCTCGTCCCTCTCGCCATGGCTACGGGCTCGTCTTCATTTGCCTGAATGGAGCCGCTCAGACAGACAGCGATGCCTGAACCCTCCGAGTCGAGGCTCACACAGCTCACACAGCCCTTTTAACAGGACATTTTCCCCCGCCGAGCCTTCCTCACCTCAGCCAGCGAGCCGAAGAAGAAGTGGAGCAGGTGAGTTTTACTCTGGGAAGGATCTGGAATCGGGGGTTAGAGGCTGTGGTGGAGGAGTCGTGCGATTTTAGAGTGACGCTCTAAAAAAATACCAAAACAAAACAAGCGCTTTTTACACGAACGCTACTTACGTGTGTCAGTCGCATTTGCGTTGATGTGTCACTGTATAATGGCTTTCTCAGCGTAGCAGTGTGGAAGAAGAGCGCTCAGGAATAGTGTACAAACTCCAGAATGAGGGTCTGCGTCCAGGCTGGTTAAACAAAGCTCATATCCTTCCATAAATCAACATAGGATCACTTGTGGGAAGTTTATCGGACGTACTGTGTGGATTAAGGCGCGTTCAGGATTATACGCTCAATTTGTGAACGAGGCTGAAGTCAGCTTTCCGTTCCACCTTAAATGGTGGTGGCGCCACAATGTAACTGCTGCACCATTTAAGGTGGAACGGGGGAGATTCGAACAAGAATCAGGTTAGTTTGTAATGGACTGGGTTCTGATTCACAGACTTTTAGGAATGTGAGGCGGTGGGTGTCGTAGACGCTTTCCACATGCCATCTCAGATGTTTCAGGCTTTGGCTCATTCACTGGCAGCAACCTGTTCCATCCAGTCATGAAACAGGCGCAGTCTGTTGCTGCTTCTGCTTCAAGTGGTACTTTGGCTTGAGGTGGCTACTAACCCATTTCTTTCAGCTTCCACCTAAATCCTCGTTCATGACTAGAGCTGAAAGATGAATCGATTTTGTATTGAAATCGCAATTTGAATGAGTGTAATTTCCAAATCACAAGAGCTGCAATTTTTATTATAGAACACATTACAGGACATCTTAACCTAATAACAGAGCCTGTGAACTGCCTGTTGAGTTAGACCAGCCAGAAGCAACAAAACACTTACATTCTGTATATGTGACATCACAAGTACCTGGTGCACTCAGTGTTCAAGCTTCATGCCAGGAAAAGTGGATATTCTGGTCTTCTTGGCTGAAAAAACAGGCCTGGAAATTAATTCGTAGAAAATAGTTGCATTTATAGACACATGTAGGTAGATTCAATCAGATGAGATTTTCTCTACAAGAGGCCATCCGGATCTGGATGGACTCGTCAGCTGATTAAGTTCTGAATTACCTGATATCAATCTGTGTCAGGGTATCTATTGTTTGGTGACTGGAAGATACCAGGTAACACTTCCTATGGGCACATCTCATATTACAAGTGATATGAACCACTATGTGGCTTAATGGCGAGAGCTGTATCTCGCAATGGGACCCACTTGTTGAATCAGACTACTGTTTAATTTGAAAACTAAGGCCTGTGTGTAGCCAGAAGAGTAATAGCCCAGTTTGTGCTTCCTGTTTTCCACATTTGGTGTGGAAGAAAGGCTGCCATTTTGGGGCTCATGTTGCTCCACAGGCATCTCTCATTGCCATTAGTGCTTGCACAGGTGGAATCAGACTCCCGCAGAACCTACACACACACACACACACACGCACACACACAAAACACCCTACACCTCAGAATGTGTGATGTGCATTAGTGTCGACAGCTCCTCAAGTGATGTATGCGCATGCATGCCTGCCTGACATACCAGGCTAATGCATATATACTGGGAGTACATACTCTCACAGTGGGCACTATGTGGATCTCAAGGGGGTTTTAATTCACTGCTCACTTCATTTGCTGCTGCGACACCCCAGGGGACTCCCACAGATGATCACACCTCCATTTGAGGGGCTATCCAGTTCATTTCTGCGTTTGAATAAAGTTGATGTTGATGTATCCTTTGATTTTGTCACAAAGCATCTGATAGATAGAGAGATGGATAGATACAATGCTGTGCAAAAGCCAGAAACCACCCTTTCATTTATTTCATTTCCAGTCAAAATGGCGAAGATATTTACTTTTCAGTGCCAGAGAAAAGGCAGGAAACATTGGTGCTGTTGGAACAAAACTTTTTCTCTCCATTTTTGTCATGAATAAATTTTTTTGAACATGCCAGCTGCCCTTTACACTACTTTGTATGCTAATTTTATTGCAAAAGGACGAATATAAATGGTCCAAAATGACTTAGAATAAGACCTAGATGCAATAAAGCTGCACTAAAATTGAAAGAAAAAGCATTACTGAGTTAAGAAAAAAAAGCATACTAAAATATGGTCCGTGTGCTGCCGCGAGTCACACTATAAAGACTGAAATAATAAAATAAAAGTCTAAAGTGTTGGGTCAAATTTCTCTGGAGTTTCCCGGACCCGTTATACGTCTTTACGTATTAATGTCACAAGCACAGCCTCAAAAAGAAGGTCTGGCTCGATGTTTAGGTCTCAAATGCAAAATCAACATTATACTGATGACAGTAGTAGATAATTCACTTGCATCCTTGCACGACACGTCCTTCACCAGGTTTTGGCGGCATTATCTTTGAAAACTCTTTTGAGGAAGGGGTCTGAAGCACAGCCGATGTTACAAAATGTTCTTCTGCAGCCCAAACTTACATAGATTAGCTTTTACTTGCATGATTTTTCCTTCAATCTTTTGGGGCTTTGCCCCAAAGAACCCTTTTCGGTTCCATTGGGCACCTTTATTTTTAAAGACATAAATATTTTTTAAAGTCATTTGGAGTTGCTTGATGTGAAAAGTTCCCTTCTAAGAGTTTTACGGACAGTTGTTCACAGTGGTAATGATAGGAACCAGACATCCGAAGTTAAAAAGCTACAACACAGAAAGTAATTACATGAAATGGCTAAAAATATGCTGCCTGATGCCAGAGACATGGTTCTATGATAGTTGTGTGAAAAATGTTTTGGTCTCAAATTTTGCAGGCAGTTTTTGCATAGTAATAACAACATGAAGTCTGTTCTTTAGAGTGAAGAGTAAAGGATGGAAATGAAGTGAATAGGTTGAGGTCAACCTACTGAATTGTTAATGGAAATAAACCAGGTCAGCTATGGCGTACGGTCTGTTGTGTTGTACGCTACATGAAGTTAGTTACTACTTCATTCTCACTCTTCCGCTGTCCTCATTTCTTTGCTGTTTCAGCCATCTGCCACAGCTCTGCCTGGTCACTGGGTCACTACAGCAGTGGACATAGATAGAGATTATCTCCGATATGTTCCTGATTCCTCACACTCATCCATATTCAAGTTGCCCCACCATACTTCTCTCAGTTTGTGTTCCCATGCCTACCTAAGCATTCGGCTCAGAGTGTGGACTCCATAGCAACCATAGCTGAATATATGTTGTCAAAAATGACTGGCAGGACTGTAGAAGAGGATGGCTTTTACTGAAAGAAATGAAAGTGGGCCTTGAGGAGACCTAAGCTCAGATATGCTAACACACGCTGGGCTTTAGAGAACATAACTGATGTCCGTGTATTTCCACACACCCAAGCAAACAGATGGTTTGGCATTATTAAAAGAACTCACATGCATGCGATAGATTGTGACTGAACATGTTCATAGGAAGGATGTGTATGAATGCAAGAGAGTGAGGGAGAGGACAGCTGAGACAGCCACATGTTGCTCCAGGGTACAGCCTGGTGGAGAGTGTGAGTGCGTCAGGAGGAGCGCAGGTGCTGTCCGCCCAGCCATCAAATTCAATTCATATTTAATGTGTCCGCTTTGATATTTGTGGCATGTTAATCAGGGTTAGTGCCCCCCTGGCCCTAAGGCATCTGGGAAGGGCCATGAGGTGAAATGTATTATGTGTGCAGAGACTACTTCAATAACAAAAAACATGACGGCATGAGAATGAAGGCAGTTGATCTGTATTCAGCTGTTCCCTGTTCCTGGCAAGCTTTTCCACCCCCCCACCCACCCCCCAATCAACAGCAGGCCAATACAGACTTCAGCAGCGGCTGGGCTCCTGGGAGGCTGTTGGCAGTGATGGGTGAGTGATGTTCGGCAGCCTGAGGGGCAGTGAGATCAGCTGGGTGCTGGGCACAGCCAGTAGCGTCCAGAGCGTAGGAGGTTTCTGACATAAGGAGATGTCCCCCATCATCGCTTTAGCGGGCAGCTGTTGTTTTCCGTTCACGTTGTTTCTGGCCAAGCAACTGTACACAAATCTGGTATGAGTTTTCCAAAGACGTGATGGCACAGTCACTGGAATACTCTCCGTTACATTAAAGATGATAGCAACACAGTAAACTGGATGCTTATTTGTTGCCTGGGTACCGTATTGGGCCCCATGGAAAAAAAAATCCCCAATGGGCTAAAAAGAAGACAAATAAACTTGCTAATTTTATTGCATTTTAACTGTTGCTGGTAGGGAGTCCTTGATCAGATGCAGCAGCAACACCACATTTAAACAATGTTATGAAAACCTGAGTACGGTGTTTTTTTTTTCAATTCACCATTTCACATACTGTGCTGCACTAAATCCAATAAAACAGGACTAATTATGTTCTCTTTTGAATGTGCCGTTGGTCAGTGTTCTGTAACGACCAGCAATATCCACAATAAACTCAGAAAAGCATGTTGTGACATGGTCTATCACAGCAATGATAAAATATTGTCATATTGTCGCCCTTAATGAAGGCCAATTCAAAAAAAGTATTCTGGAAACCATGTTTATATTAAACCTGTTAGCAACTGGATGTTAAGGTGGTAGTTTCTCATCTCTAATATAGAGAAGGTTAGAAAATGTAGTAGTAGTAGTAGTAGATTTATGGATTTATGGATATGGGGGTTAAGCCTTTACTACGGGGGTCTTCGGGCATGCTCCCCCAGGAGAAATAAAAATGGCCTCAGTATTATTGTGATTATTATAATTATTTGCCACAAACTCGTACTGTAGGTAGGTATCTTCACTCTGTAGCTACTAATCACAAAAGCAAACACTGTACAGCCCTGGTTATCCAGGTAACTATCATCAGCTAAGTTAAGAAAAGCTAACTTAGCTGACTGAACTTTAGATTGTTGTGTATCATTAGACTTTATACTAAAATGTGCGTTAGCAAATAACCTACCCTTCAGATAATCAGGATAGTGTGTTTGGATGAAAGTTTCCTCAGTAACACATTTTCAGCATCTTTTAGCATAATAATTCTGCATTATAAATTATATGCCAGTGCATTTCTCAACCAGGTTCTTCGGAGATTTGGCTAAGTTTTTCCTTCACTTGGCAGAGAAAGTAGTGCTGGTTGTTATGGGCTGAGAGGCACGTCAGTCAGTATTTTAGAAACAGTCAGTTGTTTGTGGTCACAATGCAAAGAAACACCAATATTGAAACCTGGCATGGAGTGTAAACTGAAATGGACTGTTTAATACAAATAGCAAATAAAGGTTCTTTTGGAATTTGTGTCATTGTCAGACTGTCGCTTTTCCCCAGGCTGTAATATCACCCTTAGCACCCAGGTCATTATTTTATTAACAAGCTTTCTCATGGTCCTTGAGCAAGCAGCGGCTCTGCCGGACCCGGACAGACAGAGCTCAATGAGCAGCCTGACAGCAGCCCTAATGTGCTGGGCAAATACAGCTATTAGCTCACCTCAACCCAGCGTCATCACCCAACTGTGCTAATGTTGCTGTTTTAGTGGTGCAGGGGGAGTTTGAGTCATCTAGTGTAATAAAGCACCTCGGTGCTTTTTACTCAGGGATCATGTTGGGATGGAGGTTTTGGTTCATTTTCACCTGTAAACAATGTTTTGTCCTGCTTGCTTTGTTTCAGATCTGTCCAATGGTTCACACTGTACCGTCTTCAGGATGACAGAGGAGATCTGAAGCACAGTCCTGGCTCCTCCTCAAGGTTTTTCAATTTCATTTTCGTGCCTACGCTCTTCCTCAATGGGCTCCCGCAGCCAGGGCTTCTTCCACCATCACCATCACCAGCACCACCACCGCAGCTCGCTGGTGCCTGCCGCTGTGCCCAGACTGTTGCCCGAGACGGGGAGCCTGCTGGGCGGCATCGCCCAGATCACGCCCACCCTCTTCCTCAGCCGTGGAAACGTGGCATCCAACCGCAGCCTGTTGCTGTCCAAAGGCATCACATGTGTGGTCAATGCCACCATCGAGCTGCCCAACTTCAACTGGCCACATGTGGAGTATGTGAAGGTGCCGCTGGCTGACATGCCGCATTCTCCCATCTCGCTCTACTTCGACAGTGTGGCAGACAAGATCCACAGTGTGGGCCGGAAGCGAGGTGCCGTGCTGGTGCACTGCGCCGCTGGCGTCAGCCGCTCAGCCTCGCTCTGCCTGGCCTACCTCATGAAGTACCATAGAGTGTCCTTGGCTGAGGCATATGCCTGGGTTAAAGCACGCCGGCCTGTCATTCGACCCAACGGTGGCTTCTGGAGGCAGCTCATCGAATATGAGAGGAAACTCTTCGGCAAGACTTCAGTGAAGATGGTGCAGACGCCCTATGGGGTCGTCCCTGACGTCTACGAGCGAGACCGTAGGAATCTTGCGCCATACTGGGGGCTTTAAAGGACTTGCCGGGGCTTTGTTTTTGGGGGGAGAGGAGGAGTCGGGAAGGTGAGCCCGTCTTCTGGTTTCCCTGTCACTAGGCTAACGACCCCTCCCCCCAAGCCTCAGATTTAAGAGTTTGATTGCGTAAACACTACTTACAGCCCCCAAAGTGTTGACTGTGAGACTCTGAGAGGATCGGCTGATGCTGTCACTGGCTGATGCCGTGATGTCAATGCATTCTTATCTGTTGATGAGAGGGAGCAAGTTAGACCAAGTTGAGATTTCCTGGTGAGGTCAGGAGTGGCAGACCCTGAGCTATTCTCGATTAGCAAGATGAACTAAATCAGTGGGAGGCTGAAATCATGGCCTGTGGGTCACTTTAAGAAAGCGAGGCAGCTGAGACTCAGGCTTTCGGTCTTCGGTTAAGATTCCACCCACGTTAAATGATGATGTGCCAGTTTCGCTGTCATCTTTTTTTTGTGAGAGGCAGCAGTCTGCTCTCGATTACTGGTAGCATTTTGAACATATTACTGGTACAAAACTGTCAATTCAGTTATTGCAAGAGACACATAAATGGTTTTGAAGGAAAGAACACTGATGGGAGTCACAAATTTTGACAAAGATGAATTTTAAAGTATGAAGAACACCAACTGTGTTTTCTTGTGTCTTGAAAGAATGTTTATGGAATAAATTAGAAGAGGATTTTGGGATTCCAACCAATGGTGCTGCTAAAAGACAGTTGGAAGCTGTATTGTAGTTCTTGTTTTGGTATATTCCTTTCATAACTTAACTAAAAAAGAGAAAAAGAAGAAGAAATCAATGTGATCAGGAGTTGTTTTTTCAACTGTTTCAACCCTTTTGATCCTTTTGCATTTATTTTCAGTTTATAAATATTTCAGTGGTTATTTTTTTTCTTATAAGAATTTCCTCAATACAGACTATTTCACATAATTATTGCCAGAGAAGTAGTCTGGCATAGAATACAAAAACATGTTGATTCTGTCCTGTCAGAATGTCAGTGATATACAGAACTAATGTTTAAAAAAAATTAAAAAAGATTAAGCTCTTGTGTTGAAATTAATAAAGGATTAAAAGCTAAAAACATGTTTTCTTGGTAATCTTTTAAATGTATTTTTATCAGGTAAATTTTTGTATTTTATTTTTTTTATATATTAATGCTTTGTTGCTTTGAGTAAGCTTAACCCAGCACTTTCTATGAGATGTTAAGGTTATACTCTTGCACATGTAGCATTCATGCAAATTACAACACATTTTGCATGTGTTTGGATATTTTCTATTTAGCCAATGTTCCCATGAAAGCAGTTGACTAAAACATGTTTGAAGTGACAGATGCAGACTATTTTCTCACAGTATTATGAATTCAGAGTCGGTGCCAGCAATCAATATCTCCATATCTGTGCCTGCCAATCATAATGACACTGACATTTTGCACTGATGACATTTGCTGATAAGTGAAAAAAAGGAGAGATCAGTGTGGGAGGAGATGAAGCCTCAGCAGATTTGATAAAACACAGGGTTTTACAAGTAGTGCTAATAAACGGATGGCAATATGACAGCTTCGAAATCACGATCAGTTACATCACAATATGCTTTTCTGAGCTGAATAAAAATCATTGTACTCTTTTTTTTTTTATATAATTTTTTAATGTGGCACTACTTGTTTGTTGTGTCTGTTCCAACTTATCAAACAGAAGAACTACTACTAATTGGGATGTGTATTGTGTACTGATAGGTCGTATTGCCCACCCCTACTAGTTAAGCGATGTCTTAGGCTGATACATTATTATATTGGTACTGTTGGCCTCTACAAGCCATGCGATTATGATAATTTTAGGCAATTATCTGTAATTATCTCATACTGTTGTGCGCTACTGAAGTTAATACCAGGGAGCAAAAAGGAGAAGAAAATAAAACTGTGAATGTGGCCCAACATAGCAGAAATAAACAGCAAATTGGCCCAAAGCACTGAGAAGTGATCAGCAAACATTTGAACACCTGTTGCTCGTCAGCATGATAAGCGCTGCACTTCTTGTGATCATGTTTGCCGAAAAAAAACTATAGTATCCTTGGTTACTGTCACCAAGGCAGTGTTGCTGGTAGTGCTGAATTCTAATGCTGACTCAGTGCCAGGAAAGTGCAGACATGCATGTGTTCCCGCTACAGCAGAAGAATGAGAATGAGCTGTTGAGAGCACAGCTTGGACATAAAAAACAAGACCTGTAATCTTACTAGTGATGCACTGAAATGAAAGACTGGGATAAAGACTAAAAAAGATGACATTATATAAAAACAGTTCCCTGAAAATGAACATGCTAAAATGATTACTGTGAGTAGGTGACAAGATGTGCAACACAATCCAAATGTCCTTGACTGCAGAGAATGCTTGACAGGAAGACAATGAATTCCATTATTTTTAGTTATACTTTGCTCTTTGGCACTGTCATTTGTGATAACACAATTTCAACAAGTTTTTTTTTAACACAATTTCAACAGATGGTGTTGGCGAGCCAGGAGGGGCTTTACTGTATTCTGCATTTTCGAAAAGGCCTTTAATACACAGAAAGAACAGTGATTAGAAATCGCTTGTCTGATACCTCTTGTACAAACTCAAATAGATCCACATGGAAGGCATTTTCACTGTTGATCTGCTCCTGCTCAAACTGTTTGAATGTTTCTGTGCTGACCAGCGCAGGAGAGTGAAGAAAAAACCCAGCAGTTTCTCTTTTCTTACTAATAAATGTAATTGTAATGTCTAAATTTTAACACTTCGCTGTAGGCCTATTGAATCGTTTATTTTCAGTCAAAATACCTGCATTTTTTGCTATTAAAAAAAAACAAAACAAAAATGTCATTTTTATTACCAATTTCAGCTGACGGTTTTCTTTGGTTGACATTTTGGCTCAATTCCATTTACATTTTTCATTAAAATGCATTCCCAGTGTGACCAGATGAGATCTGAGTGCATGAAGGCTCTTGGTTTGGGGCACTTCAGCCTCTCATGTACTCCATGTTTCAATTCATAGGTTATACTCTGATGCATATCCACTCACATAATTGACTACAAATAATGAAAACACAGTCAGTTTACACTTATGTTAAATGTGGTCAGGATCTGTCTCTGACCACCTCTGAATGTGGTTTGAATGATTCGATTACGATGTGACCTTCGGGTGTTTACATCTGGCTTTTCAAATGAAATCCGAACGTGATCTGATCACCGAAATTGCATGTTGAGGCAAGGTGTAAACAGGCTCTTCGTCCCTTCACTGGATCTGAATAACATTCTGCTTGCATCACATTGTACACAAGGACAGACAGGGTAGGAGGTGAGTGTTTGCAATATTATACGCTACTTTATAAACACTATACACACCCAGGGACAGTTCTTTACACACAGTATTTTAATCCAGGCAGTAGTAGGCTACATCATCATGTTTAGAATCATGTTATGAACACTCAAAGTGCCTAGGTAAACTAATTTATCATCACAGCTGAAACTGGATTGAGACCAAAGAACTTCAATCTGAAGAAACAACGATTAGTTAAGTCGTGCGCTGCCACTTTTCAAGTACATTGTCAATGTTCAAGAAGTCACAAAATAGGAAAAGACATTCAATAGCGCCATCACACACAATTCAAAATGGTAAATATCACCATTTTAAGCAGTCTGCCGAGACTGAGATGTTTTATCAAAGATCCTCAAAAAAATGCAATTTAATCACAGAGCGCCACACACCATTTCAAGACCCAGCCATTAAAGACATCGATTTCCAGCAAAATGATAGATAGCACAGCCCTGCTGAAAAGAAATGAGGCATATAAAGAGAACACTTTTCTGAACATGTACATAATGTCTGAATATAACCTTGATCTATACATCTATACTGCATCATTTAATACAGTTATGAGACAAGTGGCTAATACAAATGCAAGAGTGTAAGTTTCACATTGTGCAATTTACTCAAAACTGTATATTACATTTCTTGATGTCCAGTGGATCATCCCTCACGAAAAGACCTCTGATATTTTTGCTATTTTATGGATGGCTGTCAAACCTACAAAACCATTTTCTACAGTAGAGACTGCACAAAAACTTAAAAGCCAGCCAGATGTTTCTGCTCCCCTTCAGAAGGCCAGACACAGAAAGAAAAAACAAAGACAACTTTCAGTCCATGTACATTACAGACCCATATAAATTACACCAGTAGATTTTTTCTGTTCCCCTTTCCAGTCTTCTACAAATGTTGTGAGCTTCACAGCCCAAATTCAAGAACTAAGAGGCCCAGCCATTGGTTGGCAATGAAAAAGGGAAAAAGACAGCAATAAATAAATACGAGACGACTCCCCAGGAACTTTCCCAGGTTCTCCCAGCAGCAGCGTTTGGCTGAAGATGGAGCTCAAAGCAGATCAGGCAGGATGAGGCCTGGAGGCTTGGGCTCCACGCAGTTAATCCAGAAATTAGCGCAGCTGGCGTGGTACTGGTGACCGCCGTACGTCAGCTTGAAGTTATCTGTCTCGGAGTTGAAAGCCTGCCCGCCACGTACGAGCCAGCAGAGAGGAGATAACAGAGAGAGAGAGAGAGTGTTTAGGCTGCCTAAAGACAACTTCACAATCAGAAGAAATGGCGCTTGCAACCTAGCTTGAGCTACAGTAAACTGGCAGTGAGGCAAAAAAGACATAAGACATACACATCTCCAACACCCAAAGCAGTCCACCAGCCAAGACATGCTTGGTGTCTATGGTATGCTTCTCTGCTCTTGCAGTGGAGCTATGAAGCTAAATGTAGCTAACACGTCACGGATGTTTAAGACCACCAATTAGCATAGGATCATCACATACTTACAAAAAACTGTTGTTAAGTAATGTCAATTAGACTTACTTGCTGATGTACAGGGTTGAGCGTAAACTTTGAGCAGGTAGCATTGGTTGTAGCATAAATTAAAATATGGTAAAACTGAAATAAAAGCCTAATAACAACAATTCAAGAAGTATTCATCCCAATAGGTCTAATAATTATAACATCTCAGACGAAAAAAACTAAATTGAATTGTAATGTTCATTTTGTGAAATGCTATGAAACGTGCAGTTTAAAATGTAAAGTGTAGCATTTTATTAGCACTCAAGTAGCTTTTTGGGCATCACTGAGAAAGAGGAAACCCACACCAGCAGGAGCTCACAAATACATGTATCGTTGCAATGGCAATTTTCACAACTAGATGCAAAAAGGTTTATCTAAGACGTCACCTTATCCACAGAGGACCGGTGTGGCTGCAGGTTTTCACTCAAAACAAGCTGGAGCCCATCTGATTCTCCTGATCCTGACTTGTTTAATCAATTGGTTTCAGTCTTTAAACTGCTGATCAGGTGATCTCCTGCTTTGCTGGAATGAAAACCTGCAGCCAGACCAGCCTTTCGTGGCTAAGACTGGACACGCCTGCTCTAAATGCAGCTAAGGCAGCAGGCACAGCAGGGGGTTCTTCAGCTTCCAAAACCAGAAGTCTTTAGTTTGTCTTTGGGACCAAACTAAACAAATTTTGTACTTCATGGTCTTCGGTTTACACACATTTGGATTTGTTCTATAGAGTTCGAATTACCTGATGGGCTACAACTACTATAAACACAACCGGCATTGCGGCTTGCACCACTACGCTCGAGCAGATGGCTTGGGCAGTACTGTCGCAGTGTACGCAGTTGTACAGATTTGTTTGAATTTTGTCTGTGTTTTAGCCATACTTAACAACACGACAGTGTGCATGTGTAACAATTTAGTTATGTAGCTAAATGGTGCACATAACTGGTGCACATAAGCTGCACTGCTACTTAAGCCTCAAACTAAATAGGCAAACTTTAAACCT